GTTTCCTGTTCATGAACGGCACGATCCCGTACCTGGCAGAACGGCAGTCCTAATGATGTCAGTCGAACAAAATGGAAACCGCCCTCATGAGCAGCCAAGCTGCGAAGTCCCTTCGGCCATCTGGACGAATAGGGAGAAGCACACCAGCACGGCCAATGCCACATACCAAGGTTGGGAATTATCAACGTTGCCAAATGCGAATAGGAACACAGCTTCGAAGAACAGCACCAAGAACTGGGCCCAAATGCGTCCGCGGAACGCAAAGTTCTTGTACATCAGGTCGCTAGTGATTCCGCCAAGGGATCGAGCAAAGAGGTTCCTGGCTTGGTCAATTCTTGCATGCAACCTCACCAAGACATAACCTTCAAGAAATCACAGCAAAATCAAAACATACAAACCGTAAACAAACCCAGGTTCATGAGTCCGAACGCTCCAGCAAGGGCCGACGCATCACCTGCCGCCATCTGGAAGTAGGTCCTGAAATGAGTCGCCAGCTGGTTGTTCCTTGGCCACAGTTTCCACGGTTTGCAGCAAGTAGAACCGAACCAAACGCGGGCATGGCTATGAATCCCATCTCTACATGATTGACACTCATTGGCAGCATCGTGGCAATGCCCTTTCGATGTCTAGTGAATGTCATCTGCCCTCATGTACGGACCATGTTTATGGGAGTTATGGGACCCCTAAGCTGTGCGGAATGGCAGGCTTTGCCAATTCGGCATTACATGCAAGCTGGTTGCATGGCCAGCTCGGTTCCTTAGTTGTCGAACCAAAACAGAAATGAACAGAACACATCCAACAAGCTTGGAAGCTCATGGCTGCAAGTGTTTGGGCTTCCCTCAGCATGTCTATAAAAACAGCGCCTTGACTGCTGCCAGGCTTCCAAAGCACGCACTGTATTGGAAGATCATAATCACGACTCGAATATCCTTCAGAACCTCGATATAGTCCTGGGCTGGTCTTCGCATGCTGCGTCAGATGCGTCAGCTTGCCAAGTGTGGACAACACAAACCAAACGCTAACTTCCTTCAGGCCCCTGATCTCGTCCAAGAATCCCACATGCTGGGCTTTTGCGTCTTCCCGGTGATTGCTGGATCGTAATGCTTGCCGGTTGGCATATCCCAGCCTTTGTAACCAAGTCCATAACAATTGCAGAAGGAACTGCACCCACGCTTCAAACTTACAAGCTTTCGATATGCTGCCTAGCAACACAAGAGCTTCATGCAAACAGCGCAGATCACAAACATGATGGCTGGCACCACCATGGAAACTCGCCACGCTACATTTGGCTCCAGGCCCGAGTCGACCATGGGATTAAACAACACGGACATCATAAAAATTTGCGTGACGCCACCACCCAAATTGCCCCAGCCCGCTGCTGTAGCGTTGGCTGTGCCTACCACGTTCGGAGCAAACATGAGCGAGCACCAGAATTGGTTGGTAACGAAGGTGGCACCTGCGCAGCCAATGAAGAACCTGATGAGGGTGTAGTTCCATGGTGCTGTGATCGCTGCTGCCATAAACACCCAAAAGGCCCCAAAGGACATGAGCCCACATTGCACATTCACCGGGCCGAATCGCTCTAGAAGAGTTCCCAAAGCCACTCTCACGAAGA